GAAAGAGCAGTCTACTGTTAGAATCATTACTATCACAAAGCCTAGATTCAGTGACAAAAGCAGAAGTTGCTGAAAAAGCTCAGCAGGTCTGACAGCATCCGTGAAGGAAAAAACAGAGTTAACGTTTCGGGTCTGATGACCCTTCCTCAGATTCAGACCCTTCCTCCGACCCTTCCTTAGATTCAGTAAAACAGTTCAAGATGAAGCAATAAATTCCTGACTTTATTCTCATTGTTGTCTTTAGCAGTGATAAGTGAAAGCTGTTTAGAAATGTGCTGGCTTTAAACTAGCAGTTCCTTCAGTTTAGATTATCCATTGAAAGGTCATTGACCTTAATTGGTTTTCTCTTCTGAATGGGGTTGCCTGACTGGTTGAGCACTTCCAGCTTTTGCTGGTTTTATCTCACATAGACAGGAACTACAGCATATCATTATTTGATTAAATTTGTTTGGAGTTTTGCACCATATTGACGAACTCCCAGCTTCTACTTTAGTCAGATGTTCAGAACCCCCTGAATTATACCTGGTAAAAATCCACAAAATCTTTACATACCACTTCAATTCAATCCCATTATAATGGATCCTTTCTGTTACAATGTCACCACCAGTCAAAGGTTACTCGCTGCAGTTCTAATGAATGATTATTGATCAGAAACGTACTTCAACAACATTGCTCTCTCTACAATTGTTGCCTAACTCACTGGAGTATTTCCAACATTTTCTGTTTTTTTTTATTACAAACCCGTGTTACGTCACTTCAAGTAACCTGCAGTTACAGAGTCAGACAGGAATGCAGAATTGCCTTCTCAGATTGCAGTGCCAAGCTACTTTCCAAGTAGTTCAAAGTTTGAAATGTTTAAGAAAGTCCAAAAGACAATTTAAAACCAATAATCCAGTGTACTGCAAATCATTTCCTCGCGTATGAACAAGAATCCAGAAATGGACACCTGGTTATACATTCGAAATGGAGTCAAACCAGTGTCATCCCACACTGTCTCTCCAGTCAAACTGGACTGGTCCAGTATGTAACCGATTAAATTCACACTGGTATCAAACCAAATCCAATTCATAGCATTCACTCTTAGTGTGATTACAACTTCAGTTCCAGGACTAAACAGTTTTGCAAAAGGTACCCTTTATAAACTACATTTAAATCATTGGACTGAGACTAAACACATACTGAAGGTACTGATGGAGGTCACTGGGATAGCTAACCTGCTGTCACCACATTAGGTTAATTCAGAACACTAAGCTGAAAGTCTAAATTGCTACATTCCAGTGAGCTACTGATTCATTTACAACACACGCATTTTGGGGCCATTGGGTTCAGGAGAGAATTGAGTACAACATTCACTTCCTGTATTACTGATTACATTATGTACACATTGGGCATATTGAACAATTTATCTTAGACACTGAAAACACAGTAAAGTCTAGGCATAATTTCTGAAACTCTGACTTAATGGGGGGGAGGGTTACAGATTATAAAGAAATGTACAAACCTTTCACTGGCAACACTCCATCTTCCAATTCTTCAGATGTCAATTCGTCATATTTGTCCACGTAATCGTCATCTTCATAATCTTCATAATCCTCTCTGGAGCTATGGGCCAGTTGTTCAGTATCACTGGGGAAGGTTGCTGCGGGAGATGAAGTTGGAGTGCCAGAGGGCACTGACAGATCATTCTGATCTTTAGCAGAACATCCCACTGTCCTGAGACTGACTGCAACATAAAGATTAATGTTTGAACAGTTAACACATTGAAAACGTGTCCTGGGCACAAATCGGTTTGACCCTGATGATGACATCAACAGTCAGATTCCACTTCAAAGATGAATCAAATGCTAACAACTACCTGTTGGATTTTAAACAGGAAAGGTTGAGACTTTACAGAAACATTAGTGCAGAGCAGAAGCTGAGAGCAATTGTGTTTTGAGAGTTACAACAGATTTGAACCTTAAAAAAAAGTTTTGATCACAACTGTGAACAGTTCAGCCCTGTTGAATTCTAAAGTGAAATAACAACACAGCTCACTCTGTGCAAAGAAAAACAAGTTTATAATATGTTTCCATTGCAAATGATCCATTGCAATGTATTTTGCTGCATATGCATGTTTAATAGGTATCTTATCTTTCTGAACCTAATGTACAAAGTTTAAGGAAAACGTATTTCTTACCAGCAATTACCACAACCAGCAACAACTGAGACAAAGCTGGAAATTTCTTCATGTTTCATTCAATGATTTCAGGGACAAGTTGCTGAGGTGTTCCCTTCACTCCTGCTGCTGCTGTATAATTCTAGAGGAGAGTGCTGTGCTCCCACAGGTGTGCCACTTACCTGCAGCACCTCCTCCCATTTAAACACGCTGTCACTGAAAACCCCAGTGACGTCAGTCCTGCCCCACACAGCCTCACCCTGACTCATATCTGTGATGTTACCCAAAGTGGACAGATCCTACACCGGCCCTAAACCCCACCTCTTCCTCCGTTACATTGATGAC